TCATGGTACTTTGGTAATAATAACAATGCCAATAAAACGTAGATAAACATAAATCATTTTCAGAAGTAAGTAAATACATATTAAGTTGATAATTATGTAAGTAAACAATTATTTAAGTATAAATGTATATTGACGTCTTATACAGAAAGTTTCTATAGGTTTATGTTTGTTTTTCAATAAAAATATGATATACCACAGAAGAGTAATCGTTTTGCTTATAATTATCATTGTAACATTATTAAATCATTTTTTTTTTTGCATTTCTTTTCACGACTTTATTATATTATAATTTATAACAACGCAAAACAGTAAACGCAACTGAACAGTATATTCTACACGTTATACTAGGTATAATATTATTTATATCTATAGGTATTCTCTTTACCTAACCATATTAACCACGGCAAACTCGCGTAACGAACCCTTTACGGGAAGCGTATGTGTGCAATAATATGTATGCCGTACATACCTATTATTATAATATATACGCTTCACGAGATCGCTGGCGAATTATAAATTATATTATAATATTGCAGTTGATTTTAGTGCAGCTAAAAGACAACAATTAATACGGTCCGCAGCGATCTCGTGTGAAGTTTTGGTGTGTGATAATGATAGTAATAATAATGATAGTAATAATAATAATAATAATAATAATAATGATGATAATAGTAATAATAATAAATTATGTTATTACAGCGATACTATTACGTACGATTTAATAGTGTGCATTCGACGACTACGCTTGTTTTGTTTTCGCGCTCTCGATATATATTCATAATATATGTATAATATATTTGTACGTGTTTGTGTGTGTGTGTGTGTGTGTGTGTGTGTGTGTAGTTTGCGTTGTATGTTCACAAATATTTATACGCCGACTGACGAGACTAATGAAAACTTCACCACTTCCCATCCGCCCATGTGTGTACGACAAAACAATCATATACAATATGCGTGTGTACTATATTATATGATTATAGAAATTTGACGAACACGATATTTGCATATACAGTTAAACAAAACTCGAACAAAGTTTTTTTTTTATATATTTTAAAATTATATAATATAATTTTGACACGAGTGCAAACGTGCACTTCGGTAATTACAAATTTTTGGAACGGAAAACTACGGTGGAGAGAAACTAAAATATAATTTTTATTCAAATTCCGCTCACATACATTTACATAATATAATATAATATATTATTGTTGTTGTTCGGAAAATATATACATATCATTATAAATTATAATATAATATACATGTATTATTTTTCGAGAAAATATTCAGCGAAACGTATAATATTCTAACATTAACAACCACAAAGTATATTGTGTATGGTACTATGGTAGGTAGATAGATAGGTACCTAAAATTATATCACTTTGTATGCTGAGTGGTAATTTTAACAGTAAACACTCATTATCTGGTATATATTTACATAATTTGAATTGATTATGACTTATAAGTTATAAACAACAATAGTAAAAAATTATTTTTAAGAAAAAGTTTAAGTTTAAGTTTAAATTTTTTTTAAATGATAGCATACATTTTTTCATTTAAAATGCCTATAAACAGAATAATATTTTGAGAATTTCAATACGTATAGAAATCGAATTTTAAACCAATTTTGTATTAGTTATAATTACCTAATAACTCATAAGTATTTATATTTTAAAGTATAGCTGAGTCGGGAAACCACATGGGAACCACTAAAAATATTGAACCACTTCTCAGCTAGTTTTCTAAACTGTTTAAACTTATAACTAATTAACCAACTTATTGCTTCTAATTAATTTTTAGAATTTGAATTTCTCTTAAAAATAAAATATAACAGATAGATAATATAACCTATCACACATTTAGTATTATTATTTTACGAACGATTTATCGATCACAATCACTTTGAAGAACATCTATATTATTCTTAACCCATAGAATTTTTTTTTTTTAGAGAGATTTAAAATAGGTAAGTGGCTCTTCAGCATCTACAATCATTTTCGTCTAACCTACACTGTAATATTTTGGTTTTTTGAATATATCTATAGCAATCTGCATTTTGAAATTCGTGATCTGAAGAAGAGTACTTTTACAAGAAAATCTCCCTCCATTTATCATTATTTGTACATACATGACGGATCAAACGCGGTCATTAATCGCTATCCATCCAAGTATATCTAACCCATTATAATCGTATATTATGCATTTATTCTATTCATATAGTTCATACAATATGATTATTAAATATAGGTATACTTGTAGTTAGTTGTTCATCTAGAACTCTATATAGTTTGTACCTGCCAAGCTGTGTATACCGTTGCAGTGTTAGAGAACGCCAGAAAACGTTCCATTAAGTGCAATGTACATTCAACTTGTAAATCATAACAATTTTGTTTTAGGACAACGAGCTGGATTTAAATAATTGTTAACCTTAAACAATAGAAAATATATGAGAATACAAAAAAAAATATTACCTATAAAATAAATAATTATTATAGACGTCGAAGTGATGTATATTTCGTTTTAGAATTTTTGCTATTGCCCTGGATATTATTTTAGTCTATTAGCAAAAGAATAATAGGTATGAGACTGGAATTGAGTTTATAGGTAAGCAGACATTTTCATTCGAATTATGAAACAATTAAGAGTTATTCTAGACCATTTTGTTTAAATTCAGTACCACGTCCCATCCTTGTTTATAACACCAATATTTTATTATTTTCAAAATATTTTTTGGACGATGGCACAGTGAGTTTTCGAGAAAAATTTATTACCTATATGATAATATTTTTCAATTTTAGGAGTCGATTCAACGGTTCGATTGTTCCCATAGTTGATAAATCGATTTATAAGTTATCATTTATATCTGGAAAATCGTAACTCAACATGAATTTGGCGCATATGCACAAAGTTTAATTCTATAATATTAAAATATGGTGCAGTGAATATTAATCAATTATAATTAGCTAATGCCTAGTAGTCAACGATGGTATTATAGTAATTCACCAGTAATCCTGCTGATGAAAGATATATCTGTAATAATTAATGGTATCTTGACAAATCCTTGAGAATCCTGCAATGCAAGGAATAATCAATGTACGTATAGTTTGTATATGAGTTAATAGAAGAAATAACATAAATTATAATAGGACAAAGGAATTAGAACATTTGGAGCACGTAATAAGGAACATAAAAATCAGGAAACTGATAAACTTCCAAAATTAAGAACGTGTTCTATAAACTAATCGTACTCGTACAGGTATTAATAGAATGCAATGAAATTATAAAAACGAGTCACATACTCACATATAATAAAAAAAATGAAATAAATTATTATAAGTAGAGGATCGCAATATAAATGTAAAACAAACAAAAACAACATTTAAATTTAAATAGCGGAAAAATTGTATAAGATATTGTAACAAACAACAATAATAATAATATATTATATGACGTCTTGACGTGGGAAGATAATACGTGCCAAGTATTGGTAGGCAATATTATATACCACGTGCAGCCAAGAAATACTTGACTAAGTACCTACTCTCATTTGAAATTCAATTTTTATTTATACATTGGTAAATGATAAATATAATGATGAAAAATGCATAAGTTTTTTTTATGTTGTTTTCAAAGACATTAAATTAAATAAAAAAAAATGTGCTGAAACATTATTATAACTGGTAGTCTACGAAATTTTGAGTGTCTTATAACATTAGGTCCGTTATAATATAACGAAATCACACTGTACTATTATTCAGGTGTTACAGAGATGGCTGACATTGAATTGAGTCCCGCAAATAATTTTGGGTTATCGGAATTGAGTCCAGCCAATATTGTTGTGTGGTTCGAGTTGAGTAATTTCAGCCTATTACCGTTGCCTAAGGGACATCAATTTTGCTGAGTAAAAATGTGTGTGATGGCTTATATTTGTTTTCAATAATAATTACTATTATATGGTGGCTTACATTGTTTTTAATAATAAAAAATAATAATAATAACGTTAATAATTATATAGTAGCTGGTAAAAATGTTAATGATATACAGATTTCAAAAAATCAAATCTGCAAATTTGCTTATTTGTACATATTTTGTTTGCCTGCTTCTGTAAAAAAGTGGTACCTTAGCTTTGCTTCCAAATGTTATATTATATGTATCGGACTGTACAAGGTCGCCACTGATAGGTAGGTAGTTATGACATTTTATCTACACGGATTCAATTCAACGATATTAAGATAATAAGCTGGACTCAATTCAAACCCATAAAAGTAGTATATTATGGACTCAATTCAAAATCACCGACAGAAATAACTGTCATAACCGACTATCTATGTAATACGTATAGCCAATATAATAGGTGACTTTTGTTCTGACCAATGTTTTTTACATTTTTTATCAGATAAATAAATTTAACACTACTTTAGGTTACACCCGGAAAGTGTTACGACAAATCAGTCGTCATCCGCGATTAAGGCGGAGGGTATAAAACACGGGTCGTTGCACTGCAGACGGACCTTTGGCCGGGTAAGTACTACTAAGTCGAATCGTTTATTGTTATTATTATTGTTGTTGTTGTTGATGATGTGAAGGTTGTTTTACTAAATTTCGTGGTACGAGCTCCGTATAATAAAATATTGTCAGACTACGCGCTACTGAACCCGTAAAATTGTTATTGCGCTTATTATTCGGTGAACACATTTCGTGATTACTCCTCAACCGCCAAAAGCGGTATACTGGTGACATCACTGGTAATTACCCAGTAGCTATCTCAAAATTATTTGATTAACTTTTTTTGTCTTTTAAGATTGTTTCATCAAAATTACACCTTAAAAGTCATTTCCTATACCGTTGTCTACTGCACTTTAATAATAAAATAATAAAATAATTACTTATTCGGTGGGCGATAAGCGTTGGCTATAGACAAAACAAACGAAATATTTTTTTTCGATTTTATTTTACTGCTTAGTAGGTACTTATATAGGTATAATAAAATATCGTAAAAAATCAGACGAAAACAATACGTCATATTTAAATATTGTCTACAATTACTAACAATATACAACTCTATTATATACATACAAATATATTATATAATATTATGTACAAATCACCTACATGGTGTCTCAATGCGTATGTGTCCTCTTTAATAACAGTATACATTATATTTGTTCTATGCTCGAAATATATCCAATTAATAATTAGATATATTTTGAATAGGAACGTACAGGGATTAGTTCTATCTAATGATAATACTATATTATAAAAATAAAAATAAATTTCTTTTAGTTTATTAAATCAAGTCCATGACATCAATGGTGGTCATTGGATGAATATTAATGTTAGTAAAATGTTATTGGTGCTATATATAAGAAATGTTTAGACAGATATGAAAACAAACGTTTGGATTTGTATTGCATTTGGGCGAACTGTATTAATGTATTATGTCTTATAATAGTTGTTATTATATTGTGACTATTACTCTGTGACCCCCCCCCCCCTTAATACTGATATGATTTTCCGAAATCTTATACATACGTACATAGGACAAATATTAGTTATTGACTAAAAATCTTCAATACCTGACTTGGGTACATTGAGATTTGAGACACCGTGTATATGTAAGCGATATATTATATTAGAATATTATTCACAGATAAGCCTGCTCACGGTTTGAGCGTTTACTACAGACGTGAGGTGTTTTTTTGTTCAGTTTCTGTGTTGTTGGCCGAGTTCGTCCGATTTGGCGGCATCACAGCAGTTCCGTTGTGTTCGTGTTTTCTGAAAAATTGTTTTAAAAACCATAGGTAGCATAAGAAATATGAAAACGTATGCTCAATAATAAAAATGTGAATATTTTTTTAAGGAACAATATTCATACATTATGCAACCAACAATAAACTCAAGCTGACGTCACATAGGTATGTAATATTTAGTATTTCATCTCATACAATGCAGTTGCAGTATGCACAAAAAACACAACTCGATGCACATGTGTGAACTAGGATAAAAACACAGATCGTGTTGAGCATACTTCTTATTTCTTATACATACCATCTCAAAAATGTTCGTACAGAAATGTCATGATATTATGATGGTATATTAATCACAGGTAATATGGCCTCCTGAGCAAGTAAAGCAGCTAAGTCGTAGAAGCAGCGTGAAAGCGGTAATGCATATAGTTTCTTTACCACTCTATACCTTAATTGTATAAATACGAAGACTGTGGTTATTTACACTACCTATACATTCGTTATGCTGTGATGATTTTTTGATTTTCAAGCAAGTTATAAGGATTTTTATTTTGTTTATTTTATGTATTATTATGAAGGTCTCATAACTCGCTTAAAAATTTAAACATCGCAATTCAAAACTAGTATATGTACGTCGTATAAACACAAATAATGTTTATATCTTTGAGTTTTATCATAAATCAATTTTCTGTAATATTAATATAATAATATCTAACAACATAAAATCGATATTGCTGAACGCAAATATTTGTTGAATTGTAAATTCGTAAGACTGTCACAACACAATATATGCGAGTGCAGTGGTATCCTCTTAATCTAAATAATATTATAGACACTCACTTTCCAAACAATAATTTTTTGATCAACAGCCCTGACGGTGCTTCGATAAGCAAATACAGTATGGTACCCACCATGTATGTTCTAAATGCTCCGAAAATCCATCCATCAATCTGAAACATCACGTAGTCGGCTTATAAAAATACAATCAATTATAAATTATATTTCAAATTTTAAAAAGTGAGCGATTCCGTGAAAAATAATTGACTTGAGTTATTATTAGTTAATCATTGTTTTATTAAAAACGTTAATCTATAAATTAGTAATAGTTGTAAGCAATATATTTTCCTTTTATAAGTTTAAAATTATAACGATGAAGAAAAGTACTAACTCGAAATATCTGACCATTTTAACTTATTCACTCATAATGACTATACAACTTCTACATTTTTTAAATAATAATAAAATAAAACATATTTTGATAAATCATAAATATTTATTCTACGAAATCTGATTGCGCAGTGCTTATAAAGGTTAGGCAAATATATAATAATATTATATTTGTGACTTCTAAATTATTCACAAATCAATGAATACTTCTATTAAATTATTTAATACTCGTTTAACTACTATAACTCAAAGTATACTTTTAGATCATGAGTATAAAAATGGAAAAATAAAATGAAAAAATCTAACTAATGATTACAATGATAAAATATATAACCAGTTATAAAACTATTGAATATATTTTGTTACACTTTATGTAATAATCATGATTCATTTTAACATTTAACTCTATATATGAGAACGAGTGTGCGGTATCTCGGCATAATAATAAAATAAATAATAATACGTAACCTTCACTCGTATTGAAACGACATGCAAATAATGTGCGAAATAGTACTATATACGCTTATACTTATATTACAATATGAGATTCATAAATATGTTATAACAAATAACTAAAACTTGGCGAACTTTACCATAGGTATTTAGCATATTTTATTATACCAAACTTATCATTATTCCTGTATTATTTTATCATATACCTACAAGTAGCTAGTCTTCGGTATTATATTTGTCTTTGTACAATAAGTAGGTACACGCGTTTGAGCTTTAAACCGAATATTTTACTTTGCCGCTTATTATAACGATGTGCCTACCTGCCATTATTTTTTTATTTTCAAAATTATTAACGTTATAGAATCTAATCCCAGACGAAAATATCATATTATATCGTTATTTGCGTTTTAATACTGTCTGCCAAATAAACCCCCATCAATTCAAATTTCAAACTCTTAACGCGATATTAAAACCATGGTTAGTGTAAATATTTACTTACCAACAAATATGATGTAGGGGTTACGGCTGTTCTTTGTTTACTTTCTATCATCATCATGACGGTGATGTTGACAAGATAAACCGTATAGGATAATCTGCCCAGTGGCACCGTTAATCTGTTGTTGAACAGTTTTTCTATTGGTCCTATATAAACACATAGCAAAAGGTTTTATTTAATCATAAATATCAAAGTCTTGAGTACCTTTTAATTCTAATATGTCATAATATTGTATTTATTGTGTATTTAAGCATATAAGATATAGCCATACGTGATAGGTTATTATTTTACCTATTTAAATGAAAAAAATGGGCACCAATCCAATAATTTTAAATTCAAATTTTTCTTCCCAAATATAGAATTATTTTCTGAAAAATTCTTATTTTCCTCTTACCAATACACAAATTGTAATAAGCTATATAATATGTCATAAATAATAATGTAATGAAATGTTCTATTTGTATATGAATAAATCGTACGTAGTAAAATATAAAGATACAAGTGCGCAATTCTGTGGCGCACCACAAAGTTTTCAACCGATTAAAAATAATCTTACCCACATAATGTATATTATATTATGTATGATAATTAATATTTAATAGGACCGGCTCAAACGGAAAAACACTCGAACGGCTTAATTTCCTGTTCCACATATGTATCGCAACGGCCCTACATATTCTATCTCAATATGTAACATGGTCATGATTGTCAATCGACATTTTAAATTCCTCTACCCTATAAGCGACCACCAGCTTTTCTGCATACCCTCACCATAAGTCTAAAGCCACTGGTGAGAACTGGTATTATTGCCAAGTACGCCAATATTATAATCAAATTAACTAGTAATTTACGAATAGAGTGTTCTGACGCAGTTGGTTTATCTCTCATGTAAGTAAAATAATATTCAAGTGTTGGTCAGGCCGCGTTCCTTATTTTACTTGTGATATCCTCGGAAAACGCAACAAGTGTGGACAATAATCAATGTGGATATTCTATTCTAACACGTTTCAATTTCATTTTAAAAAAAAACCCCCAGGTTGTCTTGACTTACCGAAACCGGTGGTGAAATGACACAACGTCAACCAGAACAGTATGATGGCCCACGTGCAGTGGCTGAAAGCAGCATACACAGACTGTTCGAGTACGTCATATGGCCTGAACACGTCGTGGAACCGCGCACCGTATAACTGGCCCCAAATGCAAGCGGCGCTGACTACCAGAGTCCCGACGTAGACGACGGTCTGTAACAAAGTATAAAAAATGTAACCTTAGGCGACGAAAAAAAAAAATGTTATGGTTAAAATGTCTATAAAGAATTTAAATCCGAACAACTAGGAAGGTACCTACTAAAAACTCATAAATTCCAAACATATTGTGTAGTAATTATATACCTACGTAATATTTTATAGAATTTACAACGATTGTAGTATGCGGCGGGTGTAATAAAATAATTATTTTGAACATGTATCTTTTATGTAGGTAATTATTAATGAAACAAAAGTTCCCTACTAAATTGTATAATAATACCTATGTTTAAACCTCAATAAAAAATTATTAATATTTAGATTATGTACCCATCAGTACTGATGAACTCAATCAATTTTATAACGTTGGTATGTTTCATTTAAAAGTGTTATACGTTGTACCCAGCTGACGTAATATTAAAATCTTTAATTTTCAGTTAATATTGAACAGTATTGACTATATTGTGACTATATTGTATTGACTTATAAATCGCTATCATTATGACGTATTGGCTAAAAATCTTATCCCAATGTCGACACTATAATAATATAATATTAAGTAAGCAAAATTACCGTGGAAAACTTAATTTCCCGTTTTTTCAGCTCTTCAACAACGATGCCGGCAAGTAATCCAGTGAAGAAAGGTGTACCCCGATAGAAAAACGGTCGGTAGTAATTTCTGAACTCCGTTGAATTGCTTGGACTCTCCAGGAACCTGCAGACAAGTTGTGTGAAAAAAACTAGTACTGTATATTATTGAACTATATAGAGTGATTCGCCAAGCATTCGCATTCTCATTCCCATTTTTCATTTAATAATTTATTCAAATTTTAATTTTTGTAATTTTTCAAAGATAACACTACAAGAACATGTTTTTAAATACTTGAGATTTTCTTAGTTACTTTAGTAATATCCTTTGGTGAAACAAACTTTTCTTTTTTATTAACTACTATCATTATTTGCTGTAAATTATTTGGTGTATAATTTTTTTGTAAATATTGATGTACCTAATTCAAAATTTGAACGAGTTTTCAGTTATTATAATATTTATACTAAAGATAATAAAATGTTAAGTACAAAAATATAAGCTAGATGTGATATTTTATCTAGTATTTATTATACTTTGATTATTTTTAAAGTTATAAATGTTGATAGATTAATATTAATTACTTAAACTTTTAAATTAGCATAGCCTCATATTCCAAACTTTTTATCATGGAACTATTATCCTTACACAAAGTAAAATGCCTAACTCGAATAATACTTGTTTGAATTTTTATTTTGATATTTATTTTTTAATATTTTTATTCGTTAAATAATTTACAGTAAAACGGGGGATTCTGATTTGAAAAAGATAAGTTTGTATCTCAACAGGATACTCCTTAAGTAGTAAAATCATTTAAAAAATAATATGGTCTTTAGGTACTTGGGTATTTAAAATACCAAAATTTAGATTTTGAATAGCTGCAACATTGAATAAAAAGGAGGATGAGAGTGCTTGGTTAATCATCTTGTGTAATACGAGTATCTATACATAATTTGGGAGTATTAAATCTGTTCGGCCGATTGAATCGTAGTATCTGGCAATAAACGGTGAGATAAAGTATATACTCATTATATAAAATGACTGTATTATTATTCATAACCTAACCTTAATTGTTGTATTATTGTTACTCGTCATTTTTTGGTTTTAAGTTGTTTGTATAAAAAGAAACACGTTACGTAATTAAGTATTTGAGAGTAGTTTATCGATTCCACTGAACTCCACTGGCTATACTGTGTATAGTATTATATACATAGGCGCAATTTGAATGTGGGGGCTTGGGTGTGCTTAGTACCCCCAGTTTTTTTAGTGTTAATTTACATTTTAATAGTAATTATGCGGGTATCCATAACCATAAGATAATATGAAAAAAATAAAGAAGCCTCGAGCCCACAATTTTTTTTTTTTGAAATTGCATCCCTGATTATATCTGATTATGACTAATTATAGTACATCGATTTTATTTTATATTAATTAATTATTGACTACCTAGGTACTTAATGTTTAAGTTTTACATATTGTAAGATTGTAAATCACAACATTATATTTTACAAAAGGTAAACAGTATTAAAATTAAACCTTACCCTATCAATATATTGTTATGGGTACTTACTGTTCCTATCACTTGTCGCATTATCTATTGATATTAATTCTGTAAACATAATACTATAGGTAGTCATACATTTTGTTTATGTGTAACGTGTAACTTTACGAAGTAAATTTATTGTAAATTGTAATATTATTGTCATAATAGACTTCGTTTAGACTTTTAGAGTGACGGTTGACGAGTACAACAAGTATTATATTTCAATACCTCACAACACTGCAGGTTGGGTTATAGCACTGCAGGTGTAGTGTAAAAAGAGCTACAGAGTTCATATCGAGTATAAATGTATAATAATATGTACTTACGAATACATTACACGAACTATTCCGTAAGCTTGGTTGACGTAGGTTGTAACGAACGATATCGCCAAAGACGCACACAAGAGTATGACAATTAAATATATTCCAATTTTTCGGCGTTTGACGTACACGTAAACCACAGTGGTCCCGATGACGAGAAACTGTAGCAGACACGATACATACCAGCCGGCAATGAGACACTGTAACAGCAAAACGAAAATTATTATCATACGAATTTTATGTTGTGCCCATTACTCTTGTAGTAGTAGTAGTAGTAGTAGTAGGGTCAACATTTTATAATATGAGAAGGGTACTGCAGGGTTAGGGCTGTAGTCGGGACGAAAGACGAACGCCAGTAATATAATATATTAATATAATCCATTTGTTTTTTCTCGCGACATTTGCCAGCCAACCATGGCAAAAATTTAAAGTACTAATGTAAGTACGGCGTATTTGAAGGCGTATTTCTAGGTTCGAACTTTCTAAGCGCACTATCCATATTATAATAGTTACGCCAATCAATGGACGCAAGAGTATAAAAATCAATTGTAAACGAGCAATATATTTAAATATTGTTCGATTATCCGTCCTATATATAGGTATATTATAATATTATATTGTGTGTGCACTCCCGCGGTGCATGGGGAGGTGATATATTTTACAAAGGCACAAGAGTTCCACCTATAACTGTTCATGTATAATAAACGCTCTGAATAAATTGAAAAACTTTTACTAACTGTGAACGACGAAGTCGTAGGTTCTGTAATGTAAGCGCGTATGACGTATATAATATAATTCAATATAAGTTTAATATACATATAAATATTATACTCAAGAATCTGTCATGTACGTATATAATACTACAATACGCTCGAGCAGAGCACATTTTCAGAATGAATAAACGCGCATATTAAACGCAAAAGGAGGGAAAAATAGTGATTTAAATTATCCGGGAATCGTACAAGGCCACATAAACACACATACATGCGAGGTGTTTTTTTCACCGTTAAACAGGCAATATCTAATAAGAAGTACCTGCAGTGATTTTAAAATTATTTTTTAACTTTTTAAACATCAATGCTTACTTTTTCTACAACTAATAGTATTTATTCTTAAAATTAAAATTATAAAATGTATAGACATTACGTTTTACACACGGTAAGCGCGGAAATCAGATACTATTATTATTAGAGGAGAGGGAGATAACCTACTTAAAATGCAATAAAAAATGTATGCCACATCGCTTGAATAACTGTTTTTTGAATTCGTTGTAGATATTGTCACAAAATTGTCAAGTTTTTTTTTTTTGCATAATAACGGAATTCCTTTTTTTTTAAATTCCAAGACTAAGCTTATTTAAATCTTCATAACATTTTCAATTTAAATACCTACATTTTGTTATGCACAACACAATGTGCCTCCGAAGTCCGAAGTTGATCTTACAGCAATTATTGAAAGATATTAAAATTACGTGTCCACAGTTTTATTTGTTGATTGATTTACGTTCAAATTGATCATATCGTTTGATCAAAAAATGTTTTTTTCGTTTACATACAGTTACCTGTATTGTATTGAATTTATTGAACTCAAACCGATTTTACACCCAAAGCAAAATACCCAGTGCTTATAATTTATTTTTATAATAATGATGGTCGGTTGCCATTTATTTACGAAACACTTCATGGAAAATATGGAATTTGTTTCAGTCAAAATATTTACCACTATAACTAAGAAAAATATATTCTACATAAATAAGTGCATGGAACTTTTATATGAATATTTTGGACGATATTAAATACAATATATATATAATAATAATGTTTTATTTGTTTTTATAGACTTGAAAGACTTAAATAGATGCCTACCCAACCTGACCTATCCTAATCTGACTTGTAAGGGGGCTAAGCTGAACCCCCTAAAATGTTCGTCAATGGTTATTCACATTCAGTTAATATAATCTATAATACCTATATTAGTTTTTTTAAGGATTTTCAGTTTTAATTTTCTGCTGTTTATGGTTACATATTTACCATATTATTTTATCACAATACATTTTTGGAATGTGCTTTTCAATGGCTTATTTAATATAAATATATAGGTAATTACTTATAGCTAAAATTGTGTTATATTTTTTGAATTGTAAAAATATAGATTTTACTTGATTTTCGACTGGTATGAAGTTGCTGACTGCCAATATATTTGCCCACCAATATGTTTTGCAATTATCCGCTTCGTGCCACATTCTCGAGGCCCAAAACGGCCCGTTCCCCAGATGAGGTATGACGAAAGCCGTCATCAGCATTACTATCCCATAAGATGGTAGAACCCTTTCCAAAAACAGTATCATTAATCATTGTAATATCAATAGCATAAAATAGTTCAATAAATCGTTTCAGTGTACAGTTAAGGTTAGGTTACTATCTAAGTAGGAGGTAGTGATACTTTTTTCGAAATAAAGGTTTATTTTTTACAGTATTTTTTACATAATTCAAGCGTCTCAGTTTTCGTGACTTTGCTGCGCCTACTTGATGTTCGTTGCCACCTCAGAGGGGAAGGGGGCGATTCCCCCTCAAAGGTTTTGAATTCTATTTGCCCAAACATTTATATTAGGTAACATAATAATGGAATAATGTATAATTTGTACAGCCTATAATATATAAAAGTTAAGAGCTTTATAAAAAAAATCGTCATTTATTTTTAAAATAATTTTTCCCCTCCGACACCCCATCCAAGAAAACTTTTTTCGGACTGTCGTGTTGATTCTCATGTAATAAGTTACACTCAAAACCCCAAGAGCAACGCGTAAACTCATACAGTTCTCGATTGTATTAAATATAAAATAGTTATTTTTTTGAAGTATGTATAAGTATTAGGTGCCTCAAATTTTAATAGATGAACGCCCACGAATTTTAATTATGTTATTAAACTATAGCAATGAATACCGTTGGAATGGATCGTTTAATCAGGCTGAGGCAATTAACTAATATATAATTATTTTTCTTAAACTAAATAATAAATCACAGTATATAACTTATGTCAAAACGTGTAATTCATATTTAATATAAGTACCCATACGTACTTCATGTATTTGTAAGCGATCACCATAAGTATCTGGTACCAACTGGTGCCGGGTTTGTTGAATTGCGGGATCAACATGATGTACATTAAATAACCGGCAATGTAAAAAAACGGATCGATCAAATTCATGGATGTCAATAAGAAATCCGGTCCTTCCGTATACATCTATAATAATGAAACGAAAACAAACGCAACAAGAAAATAAAACCATTCACAAAAATACAAAGCTTATAAATATAAATCGGGTTTAGAAATAGGTAAGGTGCTATATGCAAATTCGTGCACGCGTAACATTGCATCATATTTGAATATTACCTTTTCGAGTTGCATCGTGTACGTGATCGGATTTATTACAAAGTACAAAAATTTATGGCCGAACAGCACCAAAATCATGGTATAAACCTTTAGCCCATTGAATATGTTCAGATCGTTGTTCCTGTTGTACTTGATCAGATCTCTGCCGTTGCGAATCAACGAGAACGTGTTGAATATTTCCGACATTTTGCCTGTAAGTATAATACGGAATTAAAAACAACAGACTGCAATAATACAATTCATTAATATGATTTTAATATAGGAAATTGCCTCCACTTTGAGATTTGCTGCTATACCTACTGAAAAATTGTCGACTTAGGCAAATAATATTAGTATGCTTTTTTTATATAAAACTATGAAGATTTAAATGATTTTTCCGGTTTTTCTATTGTTGTATCAAAACGATTGCTTCAATACCAGTAATCAGTACAAACAATTAATTGTTTTTGGGAAAAAAGTCTTTCAAAACTCGCATTCGTAATGACAAAATTCCGAAGTATTTAATGGACCCACAACAATTAGATAGAACTTATGATTAGATTCTTAACCATGTTTATACAACAAGAACTACATGACTATAATAATAGGTATTAACTATGAAAAATTCATCCACATTTTCAGAACATACGGAAAACGCCAAAAGTATGTAACTTCAAAAACATATTTTTTTCTGAAAGTTTATCTACTCAAACAAAATTAAAATGTAGAATTATTCTAACAGCAGTTTACGAAACTCATACCGATGTGCTTGTTTACAATATAATAATAAACATTTCATTAACTGTTTGCCAATAAGTGTTAAAAACTCGGAGAGTACAATTTTTTTTTTTAAAACAACTCACAACTTTTTTCGAGATTTTCTTTAAAAACGAGATTCTTACTACCTATTATAATATAATATCATCTGATATATAGTATTATAATATGATGATGCTATTTTTCGTATTATATCCTCCCCGAAACCAAAGAAAAAAAGAATTGGTTTCAATTATACAATCTGTGTTCAATTTCCAATAATTTTGTCCTATCCAAGACTAAGGCACCACGTGCAACATTTGAACATTTTCTAGAGTCTTGATAATACCTATGTATTTTCTGGCGAAAAACGACAAATAAATACGAATAATTTATGCCATAAATTGTAAAAAACGACACCTCATTAAGTCTAAAATAGTAAAATCATATTTGTATATCTTACGTTGTACCTATAAATAATTCTAACTTCTGAGTAAATACGTTAAAAAGTTGTTAAGTGAACTACTTAATCTCAGTATCTATTCATAACATAACATATTATAAACTAAAAAATAAATAAAAGTAAAATGTTATTGTATATTATTATTAGATTGTCATTTATATTGCTATTCTTAGTTTATGAATTAAATTCGTTTAATTAAATATTACTTATAATATGTATAATATTTCACTATGATAATATGTAAGCACTTACATATTTATAACTAAAACATATTTTACTTACACTTTTTCCCGTTGTTATTCCGCATTATTACTATTAAATGGAACGCCGTCGACACGCAGCACATCAGGACCAAGATTCCAACTAGTGAACTTAAATAACCAAACAACAATAGTTATAGTAAGTTATAGTAGTTATAGTATAATTAGTAGGTACAGTAGATAGCCATAAAATAAAGGTATATGCTATACTCTACAAGTACCTGATACTTATAGATCATTATACATTTTTATCATCGATATATTCTCCTTAATATAGGTTGAATGAACTTGTTACTCGGTATAAGTAATAACAGTATATTATATTATATGTTGAAACATTTTAAAACAAAATACATTTTTTTTTTAAAGGTTTAAAATTTATCTTTCTCGTATGCTATAAATAGTTTGTGTAACTTTGGTTAGCCTCAAAGTTACACAACAATTATACATTCATTATAATATTATATAGAGATTAACACTAAACGATAACGATAATCTAATGATTAATTATACTAGATTTACCTATACCCATATAATATATATATATAAATACTTTGCTAACTAAGACTCTTGACCCATTATATATAAACACAAGTACATAACGAATATGCATAAGATGTATGTGAACTAGGATATAGTTAAGTTTATTATATTGTTCGGTCTGTGAAACTAAATTCAATATTAAATTATATTATACAATAAATATAATACGTATTAATCGTATACGATGAATGGCCGTGGAAAAATGGTGAAAGTTTAAAAAAGAATAGGTACTTAAATTAAAATTAGGTTTTTTAAAATCTATAACATCTAAATTTAAATTAAAGAATCCACCACTTGCTTGATGGTGTATATTATATAGCTTATAGACTTAAAGCAAGTATTTAACCATAGCTTTAACGTGTCTCGTATGGATTGTATAAAGTTTAAAAATAAATTTCAAGTTAAAAAGTGTTCGTATATTAAATGTAACACTGCAGTCATATTATGATCATATGCATAACGTTGTGGCCTTATATCATAACGTCGTGAATGCGACACACTTCAAAACTTATTTTATAGGTGTCTACTGTCTAGTGTCTACTGATTTTGTTTAAAAGTGTATCCTACTATAATATTCCTTGGGTTTAGCACAATAACTACTGTAAAGTAGTAGTTAATTCTAATGTCAACTAAATAGTATTCAATCAACGCATACTAACCTGAGCGATACGTACATTATTGGTAGCTAACCATCTATAAGCATTAAACATGTTTTTAACTTAACGCATTATTTTTAAAATTAACAAGAGCTTAGTTATCTACCTACTGCAATGGAGACTTAAACTAGTTATATTATTACAATATATTATTATGTTCATAGAGCGCTATCTATTGGTCGTAAGCGTCAACACTATTGGACGCTATTATGGAAACAAAAGTCGGGGTAAATGATAACGTAGTAGGTATTACCTATTTACCTATATAATATTTAAAGATTTAATAGTAAAATTGGGAAATCATATTTTGCGTTAAACACTACAATAAAACGTCGGTGTTCATAGTTACCTGGTCAAATAGTAACCAGTATCGTACGGATACGCGTCCTTGTCCGTCGAACACAATATCGAATCAACTTGGACTTGAGCTTTAACCTGGTGCGGTAGGAAGTGTATGTCGAATTTCTTCTGCAACGTTACCTGGAGGTCGTCAGCTGTGCAAGAGTCCGGTATGCAAATGCCGAATTTTATGACATTTCTGCGCTGTTGGTTATCGCGATCTACGAACTGAGTGACACAAAACCATAACGGTGAGATTTATCGATAATGTATATAGGTATGAATATTGTACTTTTGTTTAAAATTTATATTAACGTCTACCGGCATGACATTATTATTATATCGGCTGTTTCTAAGGAAGATGTTATTAATCTATTAGTCGATTTTCTCCCCCTTTATACGGTTGTAGTCGCCTGTGATATAATTCATATTTTCCTCAAGCATGTTATTAAATATTTTAAGTGCAAAAATAAAAAACAAAAACCATTGATCAAGGAATATTGCGATCAATCAGAAGTTGATCGTTGGTTTGTTTTTTGAAAACTTATGTGGGTTGTTATTATCGAACAAGGAAGATAATATTATACACTTGAAATGGTCAGAAAAACAAAAAAATTAAAGAAATGCATATTACACTATGTAATGTAAGGCAAACTATCAATTTTTCAACAAAACAACCTTATAGCGACAGACAAAAATTTAGGTAATTCTAGTGCTTAGGTTTAAAAATGTTAAGGTCTTGTATTTGATAATGAAGTTTACTTTGCATCGATCGGAGCATATATTCAATATTTTTAATAATTTTAAGTATAAAAAATATAAAAAATTTAAATAGTGATAACATTTAAAATGTTTACCGCAAGGAATGATCTCGAGAAACGAAAGAATTGCCTAAACACAACTCCTTAGAAATGATAAGTTCGCAAGGACCATAACAGAAAACGATAGTTGAAATTGTGAAGAAAAAATTTCCAAATTTTTAAGTGGGTACAATAATAGTAAGCAAGCAGTGAAAGAAAAACAAGCGTATGAAGAAATTATTGAAAGCGATATTATAATAATTGCAGTGTATAATTTTATTGATTAGTAATAAAAACATGTATTATACCTCTATAAATTATAATACGTGCCGATATTATATAAACAGGATATTAATTATACAGGTGCTTGTCTAGGGAAGATATTTGCTGGCAAAATCGATATTATCGCCCTTAATCTGAGGGTTATTTCGGGACACACTCGATTTCACAACATATCATATTAATATATCACTCTTTCCGTCAAGAATCACAACAATAATAATATCAATGTGATCGTAGTATTTAATATTGCAGGTACTCACCCCGAGTATCTCTTGCCAGGCGTTGTCATTCACGTGTAGTTTGTCAGTTTTTTTGGCTGTAAAATCGACGCCAGCCGATGAGCTGATCTTGACGGATGGTATGCAGTATTTACCCATAACGGGCTGGTGAACTTTGACGCACTCTTCGTATACGCCCATCTGGTGTGAGGTGCCAACGAGTATGCCGTTTGGATACCGACTCCACGAATCGGACACTGAGTACATAATTCGTATTATATACAACTGTATTTTAAATTTATATTCATATAAATATATACCTAGAGGTTGTAACAGAAATACTTGATAAATGAAAAAAAATTATTACTAGCATAAAACGTATGGAAAAAAATATGAAAATTATATACATAAATAGAAAATAATTTTAGATATACTTATGCAGTTTTGTCTGGGAATTCCCATAAGGAATATTTTCAAAATAGTTATTCTATACATTTCAAATAAATTTACTCAAAAAAAATATTGATATTTAAAAATATGGGGCAATGCAAAAAAAAACCAATGTAAATAAAATCCAAACTGTTCAAAATAAAATTTTAAGATTAATTACTAACGCCCCACCATAAGTCTCCAACTGCACTCTGCACACAGGCTTAAATATTAAAATTTAAAACATTTCACTCTGAAGCAGTAAAATTGCACAAAAGATTTCATAACAGACTTCCATATCATAATAATTTCCTAATATCCAATTTAGCTTCTCGCACAATTCCAGGCAATCCTCCAAGACGACTAAAAAGAAATTGGTATCGAGATTTACTAAATGAATGAATAAAACTTAAAAAAAAAAATTATTAATAAACAAATAGGTAGTGCTTTCATTGGATGGCTTCTTCCCTCTCGTATTCATGTCCAAAATATCATATCACACATTCTTATTGTGCCCAAGGGCTATTTTATATTTCTTGTAAAATAAAAAAATATAGCTAGGCTACCTGTTTAAATAAAAGTTTTTAACTCTCAGCATATTTCTCCAAATTAGATCTACAAATTGACTTGAATTGAATTTTTCCAAAAAAAAACATTATTTAAATAAAAAACTAATAAAGCATGGTTGAAGCACAGTGGTATGTGGTTTAAGATTAATATATATGTATATATATATATATTGTAATGACTATAGTCTTGACTATTTATGTAATACAAGCAGCCGAAGCAGGTAATATTTATTATAATACCAATTATAAATTAGCTACACTAATGTTTTAATCAATTTCTAAGCAAATTTGTACCAATATTTTTAGTGGAGAAAAATTAGCACTTTCCAAATGTATCAATATTATATATATTATTTTAACGTAACTTTAGAAAAAAATGTAAACATAATAATATATAATTATACTTATTCAAAGTAATATTTACGGGTTGTGCCACTTGCGCCTACAACAAAATTTGTATTTTTAGGTCAATATACCAATTACTCTTGAATTCAAATTTAACTACCGGCTACCGTCAGATATGAAAACATTTTTATTCGATCTAATCCCATCAACATCCACATAAACAATCTACACCCTGAAATGCTTGAAAATCGAAAACTTATTTATTGATCAATCCAAATATTTTTATCTTTTTAAAAGCAATAATCGAAACACTGGCTAGCACGTATATTGCCATAAATAATGTAGAACAAGATAAATCAATTTCAAACAGAGAATTTTAAACAAAAAAATTAACCATCAATTCTATTATTGAGAAATACAAATCAGGCGAAATTACGAGAAAAGAATTTTTTTAATCAGTGTGTTATTATTAATGTAAAAATTAATGTAAAAAAATTATTTATTCATATTTTATTTACTAAATTATGTATAATGTATATTGATATTGGATGCTCCCAAAAAAAATCTATCATTATACTCATTGGTCTTTAATACATTTATTATTAGTAGGTAATAATATAATATAATGATATAATAACATGATATATTATATAAAATGTATTTCATCCTAATTTTGAATAATTGACGATCAAAACTTATTAAATGTGAAGAAAAAAAACTATATATTTATATTATATTATGTAGGTACCTATTATGTACATTGATACTCCCAAAAAAATCAGTTAGTCCATTAATTTATTATTTAATTATAAATGTATAACTAATTAATAAGTTTTCCTAAGGTATTGCAAAATGTTTTGAACGCAATTGGTCTATCAACCCGGACATTTTTAGAGCGTAATCGGTACATCAAAAGGTTATTTTAAGCGCAATTGGTAAACTACAATATTTACAGGAGGTTGGGGACAAAAGGATCGACATATATTTTTATTAGATGGTTATATTATATTGTACTGACTCTGAATGGCCCACAGCGAATCGTTTTGCAAGTGGCTGACGTACATCTGCATCTGTTTTCGACACTCCGAGCTGCCAATATCTGTGGGCCCGGTGAAATCTTCCAGCGTCTCATAGAAGATTTTTGAGAACCAAATCTTTGGGTAGTCGTGGTTTGCGCGTCTGTCGATATCGCCGGATCGGACATCGGCAACAATGAGGAGGAAAACGACAGTCACACAAACCGAAGATAACGCAAGGATAGACATGATTGAAATATTTTAAATATTAATAATACTATGCATACTATTTTTAATATTATTGTTAATATTATTATTATTGTAAATTTTATTTTGCACGTGTGTCCGATCCGTCGCAAAGACCGGTTCGCGAATTCACCAATTAATGACACGATCGAGACTTGACAATCCGTCCGACTCGAGCGATTAACGAGTAAATACGATCGGTACCTGTTCTATATACTACCTATTATGTTATTTTAAACGAATAATGTGTATTAAACTCGATTGGAAGGGAGTTACAATGCGTATCATACGAACACGCGCATGCGTTTGTGTCTGAGTGTACTTCATAAGTCGCTCTAGTGCTCTACGTAGTTATAATAATATTGTTATGATGTATCGAATAAATATAACATGTAATAAGAGGAAATAAAAAAAATATCAAAGTATTTAAATTCTAATCATGAACTAAGATACTACAAACTATCTTAGTTCATGGTTCTAATCAAAACATTTACTACTAAAAACAATTACTCATTAGAGGTGTGTCGAACTCAGAAATATGGTCTTGAACCAAAAAGTTCAGTACGATATTGAACTCAAACTAAACATTTTGTTTAATATTGAAATGATCCGGAATCAAGTTCATGAACTAAATTAGATTTAAGAGTTAGACAGTGACCAAACAAAAGATACTATAATATTATATATTAATATGGATAATTAGTTAATATTACAGAGTATAATTTCTAAATACGTTTGCTACATTGTTAACTTTACTATTCGAAATTATTGGTTGCTGATCTTGATGGAAAGCTGAGCTGTTCACGTTTAATTCAGCTTTATAATCGTTAACGTCAGCCAATAGGTGTGTATAAGTTTTTTGGAGTTGTGAAATTTAAAATCTGAATTAGGTATTTACAGCGTGTAACAGAAAGATATGACAAATTTAATAACTTGTGTTTTAATCAGGGCTTGCAAACGTTATAATAACGTTATAAAAAACGATTGAAATTTGTAAACGTAATTATAACGGAAAACGATGAACGTAAATAAATAAATTACACAAAACAAAACGTAACGTTTAACAAAATATATGATGTATCATTAAACAAAACATAGCGCAAAACGGTATATATTGTAGGTATTCCATTAAACGAAATAATTAATTCCCAATTATTTAATAATACTTAGTAGTATTCAATTATTTATACAATCCAAGAATTAATTTTATTCCGTATCCGGCCTATCCGGGAGATCCCGTATTAGATATTATTTTAAAACTTAATGAGAAGTTATTAATAGAATAATTTAATTACCAATAGCTAATAATAGTGATGCTCTGATAATATTGTACTGTACTATCTGTACTACGGTCGAAATTTATACCACTCAAGTTATTCAACTATTGTGTTCAGTGATCAGTTTGCTCAGATTTATTCACTCGTCAGTGTTTGTCTAATTGTTAATTTATTTATATTTTATACTAATATACTTATAGTTTTAACGTGCATACGTTTTCTTTATATTAGCTTAACTCATTTAATTAAATAAATAAAATTAAACAATACCTACTTAAAACTCAGAATAGGGAAATTATGTCCCCAAAAAAGGTCATAGTCGTATACTTTTAAAACAGGTATCTAAATACTTTTAAATTTTAAATAACGATAAACGCTAAAATTGTTTAACGTTTTAATTATGAATAACGATAAACGCAAAAATTGTATAACGTTTTAATTCTGAATAACGATAAACACAAAAGTTGAATAACGTTTAAATTTTGAATAACGATAAACTCAAAATGTGTATAACGTTTTGATTGTAAATAACGTAAAACAAAATTTATTTTTCAAATGCAAGCCCTGGTTTTAATCAACATTTTCTTATTTTTTTTTTTTTTCATATAAGTAATAGATAATAATACGTAACTTATACGTGCAGTAGTACAAGCTTAGAAATTAATTATATGAAGAAAATAATTAAAATATTGATTGAAACACTTGCTATTTGTCATATCTTTCTGTTACACCCAGTGTATTGTATTATAAAATGTTGGTAAGCGAAGTAGTTGGCTAACATTTTGGGGGACACTCCTCCACCACTCTGCCAACTCATTAAAACTTTAAATACTTACTAGTTATAACTAATAAGTTGTATACTAGGTACAAGTACTGGTTGAAATTCAACTTTTATGAAGTTAAGATTGTCAGAAATGTATTCTACTTTGGAATTTGACAATAAAAATCTATACTGTCATTCAAAAAACTAGGAAAGTAAAACATGGCAAAATATACTATAATAAGGATAAAAGATAGGAAAATACCATTTTTTTCTTCAATCAAAAACCTTGTATTGACTCCTAATTTATGTACAAATAATTTTCCAATTAAGTTACTAGTCACCGGGAAAATTAAAATATATAATTAACAAATTTAACTGACCACGTTTACAATATTTAACTAATATAAATAATATAATATAGGAAAAATACTCAATTTCAAACACGTTTCCTTATCTACTTTTTTAATTTGTAGATACATGGACAGTGGATCATGCCAGAAATAGTATATTGTGCCTATTTATATCTGTATAATATTATTTCAAGAAGAAACATAACATAAATTATAGTATCACTTAATATTACAATTATTATAGCTTCTTATTTGTAAGTATGTAAACTGCAATAATTAATGCAAAAAATCCAAGCCTGAGCAAGTTAATTACAATTTTTAAATGAGTTAAGTTAAATTAATATAAAACATTTTTAAAAGTTTAAAGTTAATAGTTATCCTTATTTTTTTTAAACTCGGTTAAGTTAAAAGTTATATGGAAACTTACAAGTAACTTATTATTTATTTTTTTATACATAAATAGCCAGTAACCTGATTTGAAATAATAAAAAATAAATGTTCATGCAATATATAGGTACATCATCAATGACAATTTTATCATATTTATGATTTAATTATTTTTAAATGAAAGTAACTTGCATTTGATTAAAACCATTCGTTATTTATTAAGTTTATATCAATAAAAATCAGAACTACAGTTAAGTTGAAAAGCTCAAAGTAATGTTTTTTAAAATGTTTATCTTAACTTAAACTTTGTAACCATGCAGTTAATGCCCACCTTGGATATTGGTAGGTATTGGCTATTATAACTATAGAACGTGTAACCGGGGAGTTCCGAATGAAATTTCGAGCCAAAAATTATGTTACGTCAAGACAAAATTATGAAGGATGATTTATGATACCTAGATCGCTAATAGATAGGTATACCAGCCTGGTTTTACATTCGGTTTCAATGAAAAAAAGTAGGAACTTGCTATGTGTTTCGACCTACGTGTGGCAAACATGCATATACATCATATACCGGAAACATGTTCACCAGGTTGTTACACACGAAGCGATTCGGACGCAAGAGTGCTTGTTTTTAAATAAATGAATAAAATATGCATATAATAATCGCCCAAAATAAAACTTGAGTGTTTTATTTGAGATGACCATATTACAAGCGTGAACAGTCGCGATCGTACACGAAGAATCGCGTCTGTTAAATTCCGTCGCGATCGAACACTAAATTTAAAGTTTAAACCATTTATTTTCAATGTACACAATATAATTATTCACACGGGATGCTAGTATAAGCGCGTTTATTTCGTATACCGGGTGTTCCATATAATGTATAAGACACTCATTAGTCATTACTACAAAATCTAGAAAATAATATTAAGTCGTTAAAAAAACATTTTTCTAAAAAATATATTTTTATCGTTTACATAATTTAATTTTTTTTAACTTTTTTTTATGAAATCATGCATATCTAATTAATTATTCCAAAGCTGAATATTTTTTAGAGTAAGTACTTCAATAGTAAAAATGTTGGACTATGTTTTAGTCTATAGGTAGTTAACTCATAAGTATTAAAATGTTGCATGTTGAGTGTTATGGCATGGTACAGGTAAGTCCAATGGCGGATAAAAAGAGAACTCCAGGCCCTAAATGCGAAATTTTATTTTATTTCCTATTCAAATCTTAATTACTCCTCTGCAAGTACCAAGCTAAATGTTAATCCACTTATCCATTAATCTAAACTTCAAATAATAACTAATAAACTAATTGCCTGAAATTTAATTTATATTAATCCAAATACTCTGAATTATATTCTGCTTAAGAATAAAGGTACAGAACTTTTAAAACCCTTTCACTCCCCATGCACATTACCATGTGAGCTGAATATAGTTGTGATTTATTTGTTCCATGCGAGTTCAATATTTATGATAATATTATAGTTTGATAAGAAAAATGTGTTCAATAAAAAAAATAAAAAAATATAATTTTTCCAAAAATGTTGTCAGTTTATAACGACTTAAGATTTTGTAAAAGAAATATTTTCAAAAACATAAGTGTTTTCTGAAATAAAGTCTTACGTCGTGGATCATCTCGTATATTATAATGTATTACGACGCGATTTTAAAACGTACACGCGTGCGTTCGAATCGCTCCGTGAGTAACCAGCTGTACCTATGCCACATAATTCATAATAATTCCTCACGTATATATTCGAGTGCATAAAAAATGTTTCATATTTTGTATATTATTATTAATAATAACTAATAATATTATATTCAATGCCATTCGTCTAGATACATTTATAGGTACGCCGTTTTATACCTGTACTGCATGTGAGTAATTTATTAAAATTTGCGTTTTAAGGAATTAAAATAACTTTTATGAAATTATTTAGTATAATTAATAATAATAATATTACTACCCATGTCAAACCAAAGTCAAGTTTTCTAGTATTGAATAATATAATATAATAATAATATAATATTTTTTTTTTCTAGTATTATAGTATTGAATTGCAGAAGATATGTTAGTTATGGTGCGTTTTCACTTGACACAAAAGTATTATCAATTGACAATTTATTGTCATTGTTAATCTTGAATGCATTTCAAACTGTGAATATTTAAGTATTTTATACGATACAAGTAGTTGAAAAAATAGATATTGTATTAAAATTGTACATATGTCTTCCATAAACAACAAACTATACAAAAATCAATGTCAATATTAATATTTTGTCAATTGTCGGACACTCCGATTTCCAGTTTTGGTGCAAATAATTTAAGTCAAATAACATACTAACTGTTCAAAATTGTTTAAAAACTTAATTTTTTAAGACTAAAAATTGAATTATATGATAATGAATAATATTATAT